AGTTGGTCAGAGGGAGGTAAATATAGTCGATTTTATTAAAATTCTTAATTTTTCACTCAGTTATTTCCAGTAAGAGGATTATACTTTCTCCTACCATTGACTTTTGGCTTCTTCATATGACATGTGTTAGGCAATGGAATCTACCATAATATATGCTATATTTGGGGCAAAGTTTCCAATACAGCTATATTATTTGTCAGAGCCCCTTACATGTCTGGTGTCTGCCAATAAAACAACATGATCCAAGTAAAAACTTCTCTTTCAATATGGACCTCAGAATGTGCAGACATGATCTGCAGTCAGTTCTACTGCCTAGAGTAGGACCATAGCCAACCAGCAACTATCACATGATAGGGTTATAATTCACTGAGAGTTTGAATTGCTTTTACAGCAAAAGCTGACTACTACAGGCATAAAAGTTGTGCCTCTATAACAAAAGCACTGAATTATTAAGACTGATATTTTTGTTTTACTATGGCAATAAACAAAAACATGGATAAATTTTCTTCACGTTTAAAGGGATGTTTTGGGATTATAAGATTTAAAATAAAGGCTGTGTTGCTTGGAGATATAAAAAACCTGAGGTTGCAGAAGCCCAAGTGATTGCTAAGTAGGAGAGACAGCTTTGTAGATAAAGATGCCCTGGACAGAGAATACAAGTAGTGATTTCAAGTATGAACCCCAAATTAAGGCACAAAGGTAGATGTTCCAAAGTGAAGCTGTAGATTTTCAGTCAACCTGCAACTTGAGCAGAAACTTCATGACGCATGTTCAGAATGAGTAACAGGTTCAGAATGATCAGAAAGACTGGTTCGTACTAAATTTAAAGAGAATAGAAGCACCATACTGAATTTTAATGTAATAGTCCACTACAGACCTTTTTTTTAAAAAAAAATTGCACATCAAGTGATGGTTATGTTTCTATAGTATTTTATATAATAGGGGTCACATTTATCATTAGACAGGATCATTCTGAAATTATCAAGGGCTTGAAAGGTGAACAGAGAGATGATTCTTTTAGTATAGACTATGAGAAAGTGTTCACCCATATGAGAAAACAACTTTTGCTCTTAACTGGTTCTGAAAAAAAGATATATAAAAGGGACTACTTAGCACAAAATCCAACCAAAAAAGGAGAAAAGGAAAAGATAGTCCTGCTTCCCATTTTTCTCCTTGTTTGGAGTTCTTGTATCTTTTTTGCAAAGTAGTGTAGATCATGGTACAATGAATTCAGAATCCTGTGATCAATTTGATCTTGATTTTTCAGGGAGCATTGTAACACTCAAGCCATCTGCTTGCCTCTGCAAATTCAGTGATTGGTTAACTAAGTGGTGGTTCCTAAGTTCTGAAAATCCCTAAATGAAAACTAAAGTGTGAAAGGAAATAAAGGAGAACCCTTATGAGTGGAAAAAAAAAAAAAAGCTTTAGTGTTAGAGTCTTTGCATTCGGGAGTAAGATCTAATAGTGGTGACCTTGGTAATAGACCTAAAAATTAATCAAGTAACATATTTTAGAAATCCTTTTTCTCTATTACCCAAGGTCATAGCAATGAGTCATCTGAAAATTTTAAGCATCTATTTGCTTGTAAAACTTATACCTATACTTATTCCAGAGAGATTTTCAACTTTAAATAAAATGTTTTGCCATAGCCTGATAGTTCTCCTTTAGGGTCTGCCCCCCTTTTTCCCAAGTACGGGTGATAACCTCTCACTTCTTAAACTCTTTTTTGTCCAAAGTCATTTTTCAAAGTCTGCTGAACAATATAGAATTTTACTATAGAAACCAATCTTAGAATTCACCTCTTCTCTCTGTCGCCAAATTTCCAGAGAAGGGAAATGAAGCCCCAGGAGCCTTGTGTTCCCACAGTTAGGCTGTAGTAGGTTACACAGCCCAGCTATTACTCTGCTTTTTATCCCTCTGAGACAGTTTGTGAAGAGTAGATCTCGCTACTGACCCTTTGTGGCTTCAAGGGGAAAAACATCTTCAACAGGAAAGCTTGAGGTTCAGTTTTTCTAATTGGACCCTGTGAATGACACTGACTTCCACCAGTTATTTAGCACATGTGAATCATGCAATAATTTCAAAATGCTTTTATATCAATAGCAACTTCTTAGTATAAATCAGACTAGCTTTATTACTTCTTCCTCCCCGAAACAGTTTCCCTGTTCACACAGACTTGATGCACACAGCAAGCTGACCAGATGTTTAGCTGTCTGGACTCATAAAGTGTACATGGTACAAACCAGAAGTTTTAGGTTGAGGGTGAGAAAAATCTTACCTCTGGGATGCCTGGTTGCTATGGACAAATTTGGGGGGATGGCAGAGGGGACTGGGAAGAGGTAGAAGGACAGTCTGTACTTGCTGATGGAAACTCAGGAGTTTATGGGTGTTTTAGCCCATCTCTAGCTCCTAGAATCTTAGAAGATCCTGCTTTATCTTAGAAATCTATGATGCAAAAGAGGGTGAAGTGGAGAAAAGGGATATTGGTGGGGTCGCATTCACCCCTGACTGATTCCAAGCAGAAAGAGCAAAAGCCAGTTCTCAGGGCAAAGCCGTAGCAGTACTTTACAGGACTGTTCCCGAGTGAACACCTGAATGTAATGTGCTCCCCTTGGAATAGTGACTCTTAGCACACATCCAGAGGCAGTTCCAGACCTGGAAGAAGAATGCAGCTCTCATGGGCATTATTCAAAACAACAACAACAACAACACACACACACACACACACACACACACACCACCCTCTTTGAATCATAACCTTTGAATCTGAGTCATTCAGCAGTGTTTTCTTTGTTCTTTGAAGGCAATTTCAGCATTGAAGTCTACACCAGGCATTCTGATTTTCAGCCTTCCCTTGTCAGGAACCTCCCATCTTAGCTACCCTCGTGGGAAGAGTATGGTTTTCTTTTAGGCATTGATTTTAAAGAAATACTACTTTAGACAAGCAGAGTGAAGGGATTTGAGGTCTTGGAAGAGTCAGTAGAGATTATTGTCAGTCTTCCCTTAAAGCTATCTCTGCCCCTGGGACACATGGCCTGCCAAATGGCTCTATAAATCTGATCACCCTCACCTTCCTTCTTCCTCCTCCCATGTTAAAATTTTCTCTGATTTATCAATAGCTTTAGGAAAGTTAAGAAAAATGAAACCAAACAGAAGTTCTGATCCTCCACAGCCACCAATGCACTGATGATGCATCATCGTGATTTCTGCTTTTAGAGACTGGGCTTCCCCATGCTGAGGTCATCTTCCTAACCCTCACCCCCTCCCCTCCTCCTCTGATACCTTATAAACCCTCTGAGAGTCTAAAACCATGCTTGCTAGAAATTGTTAGGTAAATTTACATGGCCCATGCTACTAATTCTCTCCTCTGTTGATTTTCAAAGCCCTGCCTGATGACCCTTGAAATGTAATACTTGAATTTCATGTCTACAGAAAAAGCTAAATGTAAGATTTGACACTCATATTTCGACATCTTTCCCACTTACTGCAGCAGCTCTTTTATTATCTTGTGTGCCTCATGTCCCCATTTCTGCTCTCCCTCCCCACACAGCCTCAAACCTTCAGGTTATCTGATAAAGAGCATAATTAACCGGCATCACTTATGGCAGAGCTCCTCTTCCACCGGACAGCTGTTTATGAAGCCAGTTATGTGTGGATTTAACTGATCAAGTGCTATCAGAGTTCTCTTCTCTTTGCGCTGAGGATTCAGTGGTCTGTGGTTCAAAATGTTTTATCAAAATCTATTCCTGCAGTTGAGCATTCTGGTCTCACTCCTTGCAGGTGGATTACAAGTTTCTGTACATCAGAGTCAGAAGGAACCAGAAAGCTAACCAACTGAAGGGAGGAAGCCAGGTTTGAAAGAGACTATTAAAAGAGCAATGGAGTTTAGGAAATGGGTGTGTGTAGGGGGAGTAGGCAAAGGAGAGAGGGCAAGGTGCGGACATCCAACAGCAGTGGCCCGTGCTGAGGAGAACGTGAGGAATCACATCTACGGGTGGTTCAGAGGAAATTTCCCTGAAAAGACCTCTCTGGCTAACTGGAGCTTTGGGTTGTGGCGGAGATGGAAATGCACAATGAAAACATCATCTGTTGCCATTCTCTGTGCAGCCTTAGCACACAGTAGCTGCCAGCGAGTATTTGTGTAATAAATGAAGCACCGGCCAAACTAACTCGATGTTTTCCCACAAACTGTAAAATTTCGTGACACAGTCACTTCCACGCACACACAGTCCCGACCTAATTTAAAGGGAAATATAGGGAGGCCAAGGTCCCTGTGGCTGCATGGGGGAAAAGGCAAGAGGAAACAGGCCAACTGAAAAGACAGAAGACCCCGTGAGGCTGGTCTTTTACACAGTTCGTCTGGTTCCTGCCGACTTCTGCGGTCCCCACCTGTGGGCCCCACGTAACCAGGAGTTCGCGGTCCTGGGGTGGTGACAGGGCGTCTGTCAGGGGCAGCATCCGCACCTGCCGCGCTGCCCCCCGCGTCTCTGCACGGAAGCCGAGGTCGAAGCACGTTGCAGTGCGGTGCTGAAAAGCTCCCAGAACCCGCCCTTTGAGCAGGACCCCAGCACCAACCGGGGTCCTGGGAGTGCTCTGGGATTCAGATCACCCTGCCAACTCCAGGGCCGCTTCTCCGCTCGTGCCCCCCACGCGGGGGTGGACCCGCGGTTTTGCGCGCCCTGGGCACCGGCGGGGAGGTCGAGACGGGAAGCACAGTGGGCAGGGGGCGC